ACTGAGTGTCCACGTGCCTAGGATTAATGCTAGTGAGAAATGTGGCTGCTACTAGAATCCCAAGTCTTCTAACCACATCAACTACTTTTATTTGTTTTTTTTTTAGGTAATTGAAAGCATTTGAATCTTTTTTTTTTTTTTCAGGAAGATTGGCCCTGCGCTAACATCTGTTGCCAATCCTCCTCTTTTTCTTTTTTCTTCCCAAAGCCCCAGTACATAGTTGTGTATCATAGTTGTAGAGTTGTAGCTCTTCTGTGTGGGACGCCACCTAGCATGGCTTGATGAGCGGTGAGTAGGTCCTTGTCCAGGATCCGGTCCGGAGAACCCTGGGCCACCGAAGCGGAAGGTGTGAACTTAACCTCTATGCCATCGGGCCGGCCCCATACTTTTATTTTTTCATTACAGCGTGGTGCATAAGAAGAAACAAGTATATAAATTATCAAAATCTTAGTGAAGGTTTATTTTATTATAGCAGTAAGAGTTTGAAATACTTGAAACATTCACAGAATATTGAACTGTGTAGAGACTGGCTGTGTTTGAGGTCTCATATTTGATGACTCACAGATGCTCTTTATTTGCAGTTCTATCAAAGAAGAGGGGATCTTAGTGCTGCATAGTATTTTTAGGTTTGATGGATATCGTGACCTTACCCCCTGGAAAGGTCTACACCCCTCTCACGAGTCCATTCAGTTTTTCAAATAAAACAACCAGTGTCTATGCCACACACAGTTGTGCCCTTTTGGTTCAGTGGCTTCATAATCTCTTGACAGCAGAGGAAACCTGCCCCTGTTTTCTTTGGCACAACCTCCGTGCAGAGCCACTCCTGTCATTTGCAGGGCCAGGACCAGAGTGCAAGAGGAGATGTTGGGCCTGAGCCAGCACTAGGGTGAGGCAAGTGAGGCAACATACGTGAAAAAGACGAGATCAGTAACAGTGCTGTGTGGAGCCATACTGGAGCCTGAGGCGAAAGGAAAAATCAATAATCTGATCCTGTCCTTATTAAAATTGTTGATATTTTGTTTATTACGGATTTTTTGCATTAATTTTCACTTTTTAATATAGTGCATTTAATATTTATCTTCGTTGCTGAGTTTCTGGTGCCCCTTAAATTTTGCACCTGTGGCAATGTCTCCTCGCTTGCCTCACCCTAGTCTCTGTCCCGCCTTGGGCCTGGGGTTGTGCACATAGCGGGGACCATTGGTCCACCCTGGCTACAGACCCGGGAAGAAGCCAGCGCAGGCCCCCAAGGTGGGCCCGGGGCTGTCAGGGCAGAGAATTCCCGGGTCTTGGCTGTGTGACTGTGGGCTGCAGGGCACAGGTGGGTGCATGCCCTTAGATCCACCGTTTCCTGGCCTGTGGAGAGGAGAGTCGTCGGAGGAGGGCCAAAGTGGAACTTTCTGGAGAGTAGTTCTCAGCTTCAGAATCTGCTGGAGGGCTTGTGAAGATGTAGATGGCTCAGATTCTGATTCAGTAGGTCTGGGGTGGGGCCCAGAAGTCTCCATTGCTAACAAGTTCCTGGGTGCCGCTGCTGCTGGTGGGCCGAGGTGCGCTCTTGGAGGATCCCTGCTCTAAAGCGTGGGGTCTGGAGTGGGGGCCCTCTTGCCCGGGTCCAAGGGGCTGCTTGTGAGACCTTGATGGGTTTCTGTGTGGGGGAGTGTGGAGGGACTTAGCATTCTTTACTAGACTTACCTTGAGATTTTTTATCTAGCATATCCAGAGTGTTCCCTTCAAGGGAAAGATTGCATGCTTTTCTGCTTTCCTGGCCAGTCTCCTAGTTGTTGCTGTTATGAATGGAGAGTTTACCAGGATGCTGGACACTAGCTGTAGAGTGACTCATTGCGATAGTTTTTCTTTTTTTTCGTGTAAACCTCTTGTATGATATATGGAGATGAGAGCTGTAGTATCTGATGTTAAGTAATATTCTTAAGTACCCCTAGATTTTGTTTTTAAGTGTGTGTTTTAAAATAACACATTATTTTTAAAAATACATTAAAAACTTGTAAATAATATTGTTTTTACATATAAAGAAGAAAATTTAAATGTCTCATAAACCCTCCGCCCAAATGATCCCTGTTGATGGTAATAGTACCAAAAGTACAAAATAAGGTAAAAACCACCTTCCCCTTCTCCCCTCTCTACTCCAGTCTCTTTCCAATATTGATGTTTTTGTGATTTTTTCCAGAAAAAATTCTTTATTCATGTCTATCTGTCCTATTTTTTTATACGATAGTATTGTATGATAAACACTGTTAGACACCTTGCCTCTTAACTTACTAATGTATCTTGGACTCGTTTCCATCAGCACATAACAGATTTACTTTAATCTTCTTAAATGGTTCATAGGATTCATCGTTGTTTAGCTAGCCCACCAGTGAAGAACACTTGGGTTCCAGGTTTTTGCTATACGAACAACCCTGTAGTGATTATCTTTCTTTGTCCATATGTCTTGAAAAACTTTTATGAGCCCAGCCATAGGCATAATACCCAGCAGTGGAGTTGCTGGACAAAGGGCGTGGACACTTAGGTTTGAAGGCAGTCACCACGTTGCCCTCCAGAAAGGTTCACTCCATCAACTGTGATGAGCATGCCTGTTTCCCCAACATTCTTGCCCACGATTGATATCATAGAATTAAAAGGAGAAAAAATTCTACTATTCCAATAGTAATAAATTGTAAAGTAACTAGGAATAAACTTGATAGTGTGCAATATTTATGTGAAGAAAACTTTAATATGCATCTGAAGGACTGAAGACTTGAGTAGATGAAAGTTATGCCATGTTCTTACCTGGGAACTTGTGGCATGATGAAAATATCCATTCTCCCTCAGTTAAGCTATAATTTGAACATGATCCAATAAAAATATATACATGATTTTTTTTTGGAGGGGGAATTTGATAAGCTGATTTTAAAGACCCTTTGGGAAAACAAATAAGTAAAAATAGACAGGAAGATTCAGAAAATAAACAAGAAGATAGGAAGATTCAGGAAATAGCTTGATATTAAAACATAATATGAAACTAAAATTGTTAAAATATATTAACGGATTATAGTCATAAACTAAAATATATTTAGGAATATATGATAAAGGTGGCAACTCAAATCAATGAGGAAAATGGATTAAAAAAAGGGAAAATGTTTAATTCATGTTGCATAAATTCCAAATCAAAAATTTACATGCAAAAAATGAAATATATACTACAAGAAATCACAGGAGAATTGTTTTATAATCCCACATCTCTCTGCTGTGACATGAACTCATTGAAGATAAGATTGATAAATTTAACTTCTTAAAAAGAAGATTCTTGGGGCCGGCCCCATGGCCTAGTGGTTAAGTTCTGTGCACTCTGCTTCAGCAGCCTGGGTTTGGTTCTTGGGCATGGACCTACATCACTCGGCAGTGGCCATGCTGTGGCGGCAACCCACATGCAAAATAGGGGAAGATTGGTACAGATGTTGGCTCAGGGCAAATCTTCCTCAGGAAAAAAACAAAATTCTTCATAGCAAAACCTACCTTATGCAAAGTCAAAAGACAATAAATTAGGGAAAGATATTTGCAACTGGGATCACAAAAAAAGAACTAAATTTCCTAATATATAAAGATTTCCTACAAACCAATAGAAAAAAGGACCAATAACCCAATAGAAAACTAGGCACAGATTATCAGCAGTTAACAGAAAAGGCAACACAGATAGCGTTTAAACATGAAATGTTTAATGAGAAAAAATACAAATTACATTATAAGAGAAATATAAATTACCACCTCACAGGGGTCATTTTTTCAGTATGAGATTAGCCAGGGCATGGGAAGAGAAATACCTTTGTACATCACTGATGGGAGCTAAATCAATACTACTCTATGGAGGAAGTCTGGCAATATCTGAAAAAATTATCATGTATTTATCTTTAGCCCAGCAATTCCACACCTAGGAATTTATTTCTTTAGAGGTACTATGTATACGTGCAAACATGTGAAATCATGTTGGAGCGATATTTTTCATTGCAGCATTACTTATAAAAGCAAAAGTTTGAATAATCTGCGGTATATCACACAATGGAACACTGTGCATCTGTAAAAAGAGTGAGGAAGAGCTCTGTGTACTGCTATTGAATGGTCTCTTAGAAGAGTATACTGTTAATTGATAAAAAGCCAGGTGTGTGACATTATACTACCATTTGGGTAAAAGGGTAAGGAGATGTATAGACCTATTTACTTGTGTATGAATTCAGCGAATGTTGACGTGTATACAAAAAAATGGATAATATTTATTGCCTCTAGGGAAAAAGCCTGGGAGGCAGGGATAGGGCTGGGATGTAGACTTTTCACTGTATACACTTGTACCTTTTGAATTTTGAATCTTGTCTGCCTTTCTTAAAATGTTTTTTAAATCCAAATTTTAAAGTAATTCATAGGTGAAGAATATTTATTTGTTTTGATATGCATAGTTCTAATGTTGAGTTAATTTGAGTGTCTTTTCAAATATTGATTTTATGTTTTTTAGGCAATTGCCTGGTCATATACTTTGCCCATTTTTCTTTTTTTTTTTTTGGAGTGCTTTCTTTGGAAATCAAGGAAATTACCCTTTTGTCTTACGTGTCACAGAAATTTTGTTCCAGTTTATCTTTTGACTGTTGATGCTGCTTTTCGCCACCTGGCGATTTTGTATTCACATACAGTGGTTGTCTTCTCCTCCTCCCCCTCCCTCTTCTTCTTTTCTTTCTTTTTTATTCTTTGAGGAAGTGGAAACGACTTTTCCAGTGTGGTCTCTGAGAAGACTGACTCTAGATTTAAAACATCCAATTATCAATGCCTTTCGATGAGTTGGAAAATAAGCGGGTGCTTGTAAGTTCTCTTTGAAGACAGTAGTTAAGAGGGAACAAACTCCTTTTTAGCAAGAGGTGACCAAGAGATCCTTCGCAGGGGCAAGAGGAGAGGGACTCAGATGCGGTGGGGCAGGCGGTTTTGGTGGGTCTCTAATGAGCCTCTCCTCTCTCCACTCCCAGCGGAGCTCCCGCGCTCCTCGGCGGTGAGGCTGTCCTCCCTGCGTGACCTGCCCACCCAGCTCCTGGAGCTGTACCAGCAGGGCTTCTCGCTGGTGGCCCTGCACCCTTTCGTGCAGCCAATCCACGAGCAGGAGAAGACACCCCTCCAGCACATCTTCAGGGCCATTCTGATCAAGAAAACCGACAGGTAAGGCCTCTGTGGGGGGATGGTTAGTGGGGAAACGGAGGATTGGGGGGGGCCGGGGTGTGTGTTTGAAATTTGCATGATGTTCCCAGGGCCTCTGCCCTCTGACAGGTGAGGCAGTATGTTATCCAGCCAGAGAGAGGTTTCTTCATGTCCTGTGTCTGTCCACACACGATTGCATAAGCAGGGTTCCATTTTGTATCCTTTCCCTTCTTTAACTTATTGGATTACACACATCATTAGTGTTTGGAAGCAGAGTCATTATAAAATATAATTTTAAAGCACAGGCATTTTTGTCTCCTAGCAAAGATTACACTTTAATTTATTGGATTACACATAGAGAAAAATGTCTCCTCTGAAGAGGTGTGCTCCAAGAATGATCAGCTAGGGAAAGTATAATACTATTAATCTGAAAAGCATGGCTGGAAAACACTAATTTTTTAAAAAGATATATACAAACTTAATGCTTTCCCCCAAACTCTAGAAATACTTGAACATTTTGAACCCATGATAAGTTCTGTCAATCACTTGGGAGGAAAACCAAAATCCACTTGAATCAAGTGCTGTAATTGATTTGGTCTTGATTTTGATTTTCCAGGCTTTGAGGATGTTTTTCAGTATCTTGCCCAACTGAATGCTTTCTCTTATATTTTTATTGGGTCTAATTAGGAAAAGAGAGGTGGAGGTTGGTTTCTCAAAAGGAGTAACATTAATTTTAAATGATTTCTTTAAAACAATGAAGATAGAATAGAAAGTGCAATATGCTGCTTTTGTAAAAATAAAAATTGAAGTAAAGTCTGGGAAATCAGATCTGTCCTTTGGCCAATTATTATGGGAGGAATGACATCATACGCCATATTTTAGAAAGAGAGAATACAGAGTGACTGCCTCTCCTTCTCTCTTTTTAAAAGTTATTTTGCTGAGTGGACAGACGTTCAGCTAGTGAGCTCACGAGGGACAGCTGTGATGCGGGAGGCTGTGTAACTAAGAAGGGCTCCTCATTCCTGGCAAGCGGAGTTCTTCATTTCTTCATGGCTGATCAAGCCATGGGGCTTAGTCCACATCAACATGCACTAGAGTTTGAAGTCAAAGACGGCGTACACCTTTGCTAACGTCCAGAATTACCATGGGTTTCGTAGAGTGAAACTTTACTCAATGTCTGCCTTTTTTGCATATTGGTTTCTTTGGTCAGTTGGCTGTGGATCAATATCTTGGTCAATCACAAGAGGAAATTGTTCTGGGAGCCATAGTGGTTTTAGATTCCGTTGACACATAGGACATGCATTGCATAGTGACTGTAGGTCACATTTATTGAGAGCTTACTGTGTGCCAGGCTTTATAAATATCGTTTCATCCTCATAATCAGCCTATGAAATAGGTACTATTGTTATTCCCATTTTAAAGGTGAGGAAGCTGAGGCCCAGATGTTGAATTATTTGTCTAGGTCACACACATGGCAGCAAGCAGAGCTCTGACTTGCTCCCAGGCAGGCTGACTTCCATTCCTGCATCTTAACCTCGATGTGAAGCACCTGTTGTGTTCCTGCACCCATGATGCTTGTGGACAATCTCTTTATGAAAAAAAAGTAGGGAGGGTATCTTTGATTTTTTGATGAGGCAGTATTCATTACTCCACTTTTCCTCCATTTTACCACTCAGCAGTCTTCAAATAAATCTGAATTTCAGAAAGGAAACAAAATAAAACCCACTTACCATGTGCAAAATAAATCCGACTTACCATGTGCCTTCCAGATTACACAAGGCATTCACAGGGCTCCCCTGTTTCTGCACTTAGATTAGTCCATTGGCCTTGATGTTTAGAGGGGACAAGTCCCCTTTGATCAGGTCACAGGATGTAATTCCACTATAGGTGATGTAAGCGTGAGACTTGCCATGAAGTCTGCACATCATAAATGAACTTGACTCTAAATGTGAAGGTGTCTTTTTTTTCTTGCTATGGAGCAGCACTTCTCAAACTTTGCTCTGCCTCCTTGAATCTCCTGGGGCTATTGTTCAAGTGCAGTCTGATTACGCAGGTCTGGGTTAGGGCCTGGGGCTCTGCGTTTCCCACACGTTCCCAGGTGATGCCAATGCTGCTGGTCCATGGACCACACTTAGCATAGCACGTGTGTAGAGGACCTGACTAATTCTTGTCTGGCTCCATGCCTGACACTCACCAACACTCCTGGGGATTGCCACTTCACTCCCGGGAAGAGTTTTGAGTGCCGGGAAAGGTGAGAAAGAACACAAGGTGCCTGGTTGGAGGGTCTGTGTTCCAGGCTGCACTTGGCTACTAGTAAGTGGTGTAGTGTGGGGGGCACATCAATAGATTTTTCTGGTACTAAGTGATTTGCAAGGCCTGAATCAACTCTAAATTATCTCATTGGATGAGGTGGGCAAGAAAGCTCCTTTTCAGGAATAAGAACCCCCACTTTTGGGACTAGTCCATTACAAGCCAGCAGTGGAACTAGGGTATTCAATAGGGGTTCTTTCCTTCTACTGAGGACAGGCCCTGAGCTAATGCACTTACTTTCCAGAAGAGGAAAATGAGTCCAGCTATTAAGAAGAATGAGACAGGCGTGTGCAGGAGAGTTTTCAAGAAAGGGAAGGTGGCGTTGCCCTTGGGTTTGAGTTCACTCTAGGCCAGAGTGCCCGGACCACCTGCCTGGATAATTTTAACAAACATTCCAGCTCCTTAATAAGCAGATACAAAGGAAGAAATTCCTTGGATAACTTTGTGCTGGGTCTTTGAAACTGCCCCCCCCTCTCGTTTTTTTTTTTTTAAAGGAAGTTGCAACAGTGTGGTAATTTACCAAGTATGGTAATGAGAATGGTAATTTGTCATTCTCATGGCAAAAATGGCCAAGAGAATTTCCCCCACTTCCACTCCCCATTAGTATTGGGTGGGAAGACCAGTGGTGGTGGGAAGCAGAGTCATTATACAATATAATTTTAAAGGATAGGCATTTTCTCTCCTAGCAAATGCAATAACCATGTGTTTTTGCATCATGAGGAAAAGACCTCACACTATTAAAACAAAAAACAACAGAACTTTTTCTGTATCAGTAGGGAGTTTACGTAGTAGAATCAAAACAAAGTAAATCTTATGTGATTAATTTTTAATATGGACAGTTAAAATGATATTTTTCACAAAGTCTGCCAAAGTTCTGACAGCTATAGATGCTGTTAAATGAAATGATTTAGCTCTCGAAAAGGAAGTAAATGCCTGGTTAATATTTTCTAAGTAGGCCACTTTGAAAGAGCTGTAGATAAACTTCCTAAATTACTATCAGTCCAAATCAAGTTCATTAGCAAGAATCACCATGGGATGAGGACTTGAAGCGTGAATATCAACCTTAATGTGTTTGACAGGTGAACATAAAGTTTTTAGCAAGTAACTGGTCTTTGGGGTCTGCAGCAAGAGCAGGAAAAAGAACAGAACCATATAAGCTTGCATTCATTCAGTCACTCACTCACTCACTCACTCATTCATTTGCAAACACTTATTGAGCTTAATCTTTGTAAGACATCGTGCTAGGAGCTCTGCTTGGTGGGAAGATAGAGAGTGCAGTACAAGGCTCACCTGGACATGGAGCCTGCCTTCCAGGGACCTACAATTTAACTGAGAAAATAAGACAGGCAACTCCTGCCTTGGGAGTTTGGAAAAAGGAGAAGTCACCTCCTGCTGGGAAGGAGCCCAAGGAAATGTTTCTGGAGGAAGGAGCTTTTCACTTGGGCCTGATTTCTTTTGGGCAAACATAGGAGTGATGCCCAAGAGATGGGAAGAGTTTATTTAAGTCTTATAATGAAATGTGTTCTGGTGGAGGTTGAGTGAGTTGAGAGTATCATTGACAGTCCAACTGGATTATTAATGAGTCATTCTGAAAGCTCATTGCAGTGACATTCCTCTGAGCCCTCTACCATTTTGACAAATTTCACTTAAATCCGTGAAAAATCACCTGATCTTTTCTTTTGAAAATTCCTGATAACTGCCACTTCATTTTAAGATGGCAAGCCAAACCCCACATCTAACCATACGTTGTTCTTGATCCTACGTGTGTCGAATTTAGTCAAAGTCAGATACTTTGAAAACTAACTCAGGAATGAGTAGCCAAATATGACATACTTAGTGAATAAGTAGAGAGTTTGTTCTTCCTTCTCTCAACTCTCTCTTCGGAAGACTTAGTGATTTTTAACAGGCGGTATGGTTGCATTCACTCTGAATTCTAAGTACAGTTAAGTTGTCCTTCAATTTTTGGGGGCCAGTTTTCCTTAGAAGGAGTTGCCAAAGATCTCAAAACTTGATGGCTAAGAGAAGTCAGTTATTAAAATGTCACTTCTGATGTTACGTGAGTGTGGGTTTAATTCTAGGTCATTTTATGGTTATAGAGGTAAGTGTAAAAATGTATTGTGCTGCATTTTTCAGCTGTTGAATTGTCGTTCACAGAGAGAGCTAGTTCAGGGTGTCAGTGATGTGTTTTTCATCACTAATGGGTTGAAGCCACTTGGGTCCAGGTCGCCTGGAATAACGCTTATAAGGTACAGGGGACCAGGACATTTGTGAACTCTGTTGACATTCATCAGGTGCCTTGTGGCCTAGGGTCAGGGGGTGGGGCACACAGAGGAGCTGCAGCTAATGCAGGGGGTGGGATTCTGAAACCCTTGTGGAAGGTGGAAAATGCATATAATCAAAACTGCCCTTGAAAAATCTCTTTAATTGCCCGTGAAATGTAATACTGTAGCATCTCTCTACCTGACCAATGCATGTTTTCCTTCAGGACTAGATCAGATTGGTGTTTCCACCAATGAGCCCCATGGGGAAGTAGGTTGGTTTGGGTGTTCATTGGAATCACACCTAAAGTGATGAGATGCTTGCACCCAGAGAGGTGTTTGTGGGAACCGAAATTGAGGGAACAGGATCTCCACACCTGCCATCTCACATCCATTCTGGGGCACATCTGCCTGTTGAGTAGAATAACTGGCACTGTTTTAAGTGGTAAACGT